TTTTTGCAAATAGTTTATTTTCAAGTTGGTTTCCATATAACCCCCATTGCTCATCCCCACAAATGCCCTCACAACATGGATGGATCTTGAGGATGTTATGCTGAGTGAAATAAGTCAGGCAGAGAAGGACAGCTACCATATGTTTGCACGTATAGGAGGATTAGGAGGAACTTAACGGAGGACCATGGGAAGAAGGGGGAAACGGAGAGAGGAAGGGAGGCAAACCAGGAGAGCCTGTTGAATGCTGAGAACAAACTGAGGACTGATAGGTATGGGGGAGAGGGAAAGGGGAGTGATGGGCATGGAGGAGGGCACTAGTGGGATGAGCACTGGCTGTTGTATGGAAACCAACATGACAATAAATGATTAAAAAAAAAATAAACAGCACACCTGTATCCCTTGGATAAACATCTGTAGTGTGATTGTTGGGTAGTAGGGTAGTTCAGTTTTTAATTTTTTGAGGAACCTCCATGCTATATCCCAGAGTGAATACACCAGTTTGCATTCCATCAGCAGTGCAAAAATCCTCTTTCTCTGCATCCTCACCAAGGTCAGTTTTTGACTGAATTGTTAATTTTAGCTGTTCTGACTGGTGTGAGGTGGTATCTCATTGTGGTTTTAATTTGTATTTCCCTGATGATAAGTGATGTCGAGCATTTTTTCAGGTGTCTGTAAGCCATCTGGATGTCTTTGGAGAAGTGTCTATTCCTGCTTTTTTTGCCCATTTCTTCACTGGATTATTTGTTCTTTTGTGTGTGGAGTTTGATAAGTTCTTTATAGATTTTGGATACTAAACCTTTTATCTGATATGTCACTTGCAACTATCTTCTCCCATTACAATGGTTGCCTTTTAGTTTTGCTGATTGTTTCCAGATGGATTATTTTAATTGTCTTAATATATTAATGATTTTTTTGTATCTTGGTCATACATAGATGGGGATTTAGAAGTTTTGACACTTTCTGATTCAAGGGGATGAAATTGACATTTTGCATTTGTTGATACTGAGCCCTAGAGAGAAACTGATTTGCTAAGTAGCATACATTTTTTTTAACCATACATTTTTAAAAATCGGGTCTTGAGGCGCCTGGGTGGCTCAGTTGGTTGAGAGTCCGACTTTGGCTCAGGTCATGATCTCATGGTTCATGGGTTTGAGCCCCATGTCAGGCTCTGTACTGACAGCTTGCTCAGAGCCTGGAGCCTGCTTCAGATTCTGTGTCTCCTTCTCTCTTTGACCCTCCCCTGCTCATGCTCTCTCTCTCTCTCTCTCTCTCTCTCTCTCTCTCTCCCTCAGAAATGAATAAAAACATTAAAAAAATAAAAATCAGGTCTTTAGTCTCACATTTTTAATATTTACCTTTACTTGTATGAGTAATGGACCTTTTGTTACCTGTGATTGAGAATCTAGGATTAGGTCCTTGTGATTTGCTTATAGTAGCTGTTATTAGAGAGTTGAACAGGTAATTTAGGAATAATCTTTATAAAAATGTACCATTGACATTTGAACATATCAAGATCTTATCCTTAACTAGTCATCTTAATTTGTTAAGGAGTGTGTGTGTGTGTGTGTGGTCTGTGTGTATAGCTAATATGGGTGTTGATACTGTGACAAGTGATAATTTATAGTGAAAAGCTGTTGGGGTTCAGAAAAATACAAGTTTTTTTTAAGAAGAAAGGTGGACAAGCCTTTTCTAAGGTCTTTCTTGTAATCAAGTGCCTGTTTCCCTGCCAGAAATTTTAATATGTTTATAAACCTCATACTACTTTGACTTCTCTTAATGTTCCTGATCCTGTCCAGTAGGGATATGCTGAATGAATTGAGAGAAATGAGTTACCTTTCTAGTAACTGATTAAAAGCATATATTTGAATGACAAAGGAAGGGAATACTTAACTGGATTCCATTGAGGAGTAGTGTTGACTTAGGGTCATTTGGTTTTGGATGCTTAGTACAATTTATGGTAGTCAGTTATTATTACTGGGAGAAAGCATGCAGTGATAGTTGCTGGCTCACTCTGTCCAAATAACCCCATTCTTGGGGTGCTGCTTCTTTATGGGTGATTGAAAGAAAATCCCCTATAATAGGAATCCCTGGAAGATGATCAGTTTTATTTTTTATTTTTTGGAGGGGACAAGTTGGCTTGATGGTCAGATTCCTTGTTTCTTGAACCTGCTGATAGTGTTCATTCCCACAAAGGGAATCTGAGGTTCAGTCCAGCTGATTTACGGTTGGAGCACTTTGGTGAGAGAGTAATAGAAGGAATGAATTAGCAGTAGATGGTGAGAGCATTGGTGGAAGAAAGGAAGATAAGAAGGAAAAATATAAGGTTTCAATGATTGTAGCATGTCCTTAGTGTTGTACAAATGTGAAGAAGACCTGTAAATTGAAAATTTAGGTCTTAGGTGTTAGGATTCTTGCAGTTGCTGGTAAGAAGAAAGCTCTCTTTTTCAAAATTGTACTAGTAGGAGTAGGTTAGGAATCACAATCACTGACATTCATCTGCTACTTTGTCATTAATGTTAGTGTATGGGTGTCAGCCAGCTTTGCCATGTTAGATTCTATGTGTCTTTTCTTGAGATGACTAGACAGTATTATGTCTTCCATTGAAATTACTGTGCTTAGCAAGATGTACTGATCAAATATCTGTTCATTACGCAGTTATTGGAATAGGTAGAATTGTATATTTCTAGAAGGCCTAGATTAAATTAAACTTTTTCCAACTTTAGTATACATGAGAATCACCTGGAGGGCTTGGACAGTTTGAGTAATAGTTTCTGGTTCAGCGGTAGGTTGAGGTTTGAGTTGACATATGTTGATAGGAAACAACTGAGTTTTATTCAGACAACAAATTGCCAATATATATTTAAATTATGTACTTAATTTGAGGAAATAAATTTCTTTATGATAATGAATCAAACACAAATTTTCACCAACTTCATGTTGGATAAAAATGACCAATAAAAATTTACAGAGAGCTGTTAATGTTTAAAGATATATATTTTTTTAATGTTTTTATTTATTTCTAGGAGAGAGAGAGAGACACAGCATGAGGAGGGGAGGGTCAGAGAGAGAGGGAGTCACAGACTGAAACAGGCTCCAGGCTCTGAGCTGGCAGTCAGCACAAAGCCCGACGCGGGGCTCGAACCCATGAACTGCGAGATCATGACCTGAGCGAAAGGCGGACGCTTAACCGACTAAGCCACCCAGGCGCCCCAAGAGCTGTTAATGTTTAAAAAAACATTCAAAATATTTTTTAACGTTTTTTTTTTTTTTTTGAGAGACATAGAGACAGAGCATGAGCAAGGAAGGGGCAGAGAAAGAGGGAGACACAGAATCTGAAGCAGGCTCCAGGGTGTGAGCTGTCAGCACAGAGCCCAGTACAGGACTAGAACCCCCAGACCATGAGATCGTGACCTGAGCCGAAGTCGGACGCTTAACTGACTGAGCTACCCAGGCGCCTCCCCCGAAGAAAACATGTTAAAAGTAGATGTGATCTCAGTGAATAGTGTGTTGATTTTCTGGACATCGTAGTTTCTGCCTAATACTTTTACTTTTGTGGGAAGGTTTATCTGATTTGTGTTCTGTTGGTGACAGAATGCATAACTTGAAATATTTGCATTATAGGCATATGTTTGGGTATGTGTATGTGTGTGTGTTTAGACTTTATTTTTAAGTAATCTCTACACCCAGTAAAGAGCTCAACCTTACAACCCTGAAATCAGAAGTCAATAGAGTTGCACACTCTACTAACTGAGCCCGCTAGGCACCCTAGTTTTGTTTTATTTTAAGCATCCACTTCTGGATAATTTTAATTAGGCTGGAAACTGCCACTTCTAGTGGATTTTTGGGTGTTGAGTTTGGGGTTGAGTCTGTTTTCTGGGGAAGTTTCAGCAAATACGTTATGGATTAGCTGTGAATACTTTGGTGGCTATATTTGGTTATTGAAATCTACTTTTTATAATGTTGCTTCTGTATGGGAATAGTGTTCATACTGGACTGTCTACATTTACTTACAAACATGGAAAAGTAGCCAGGGATTTCTTCAGGCTTGAAAATGCTGAATAGGTCAAATCAGAGTCTCTCCCCCATGCTATAGCAAATAAGGAACTGAGAATTGGAATGAGGGGACTTTTTTTTTTCCTGTGGCTAGAGTGAATAAGAAATTATATAAGATTTTTAAAACTTGTGACATGATTTCTGAAAATAAGTTACTGCAGTAAATTGGTTTTCTTATTTTTGAATAAGAATATTTTGTATTTTTCTTAATTATATTTTGTATAATGTATAACCTTCTCTAGTGAGATTGTCTGGACAGTGCTTTTGTAATTTAAGTAGATGGAGTGTTTTTTCAACTGAGTGAATGATGGCCCTATGAGATGGCAAACTAATAGAAATATTCCATTCCTCAAAGATTGCTGAAGTCATGGTGAGGAAACAATGCATAAAATCTCTGATTTAACTAATATTTTTATTTGTCTAAGATTATAACATGACTCATAAACATGGTTACAAGAAGTCATAATAGACTTACTCTTCTTATATTCTTCCTTTACAAGGAGAACAAACATTAATGGTTCACCAGAAGTCTTGGCGTCCTTACTTTTTATTTCTCCCAAGACCTGGTATAAAGTAGGATTTTAGATAGTAATTTTTTTAAATTGGTATATTGTTATCATGGTTATTAGTGGAATTAATGCATAAATTAACAAAAGACATAATAAATTTTCCTTATGGTATAGGCAACGTTTGGCTTCAGTTTAAAGCTCAAATTTCTCATTCTCTGTAATGGTTTGAGTCACAAAACATTGGCATTTTATTGTACCACCTTGCTGAGGGTACAAAACTATCTTTCAACTTACTTATTCTGTCAGTTAGAGTGCCAAATTTTTGGGGGCCTTGGAGGAAAGAGAAAAGGTGTTCCTTAAGTTTGTCTACTTTTTTATTGGGTACTTACAGCTGTTTCAGTATAGCTCACAGGAGAATATATCTTCCATGTTTAAATTTTTCAAAAGGATATGTTCAGTTGAACTTCTCTATGTGCAGATTTCTTAGAAATCAAGAAAATGTTGAGTATATGACAGTTTACTTGTCAGTATCTAATAGAGTATCTGGCCACATAAAAAGGTGTGAAAATGTATCATTATTTGGGTTGGCAAAAATATATTGGTTATTTGTTCTCTTGGTTTTAGTAATGTACATAAACATCTACGACCCTGTAAAAGAAAAGACTTGGAACAATTGTATTCAAAATGACAATATATGTACAGATAATTCAAAGAAGAAAATACTGGCAAGTAAGTGTGTGAATGTTTCTAAATGATTCATAAGCATCTTTTAAAATCTTTGTGTGATACATTTGAATCAATTTTACATCGATGTAAAAAGGTGATGTCAACTAGGTGAGAAAGTGGGTGTCATTCATGGACATGAATGGAGCCTAAGAAGCATGGACAAGGATTTCATCCAGAAACTTAGAAAATTTATTGGACAGTAGATAACTGTTCAAGCTCCATTATATAGCTGTTCTCGAACTACCTTTCTAGATGGCTTTTGTTGTTGTAACTGTTGTATTTTAACTGTATTTAAACTTCTTATTGGTCCCCTTACTTCTAGCTTCAGATTCTCTATTTCATCTGTCTGCCAGAGCAGTATTTGGGAAAGATGACAAACCAAGTCACCTTGATTTTTTTCTTCAAAATCTGCATTTGACATGTTTTCAAGAGTTTTAGAAATAACCAATAATCAGAGAAGAGGACAGAGATTATATAAACACATACTTAGAGGATTGTTTGCCACTGTCAAAACTGGAAATTTCCCACTTTTAGTTACTGAACGTTTGGATTCCTAAATTTTGTGACCTTTTCTTTTCACTTTTATTCCCTGAGTAAGACTCTCCTGATATGGATCTTATGAAATTTGTGCATCAAGAAACAATATGATTATAATCCAGGATGACTTAGGATAATATGCAAATGTTTTTGCCACTGATCTGAACAGGATAGTATAACTTGAGTGCTTCTGCGTTGATCAGATTGTGGTTTTCAAATTCTTCTGGAGTATCCTGAACAATTTTACTTAAGAACTGCTGTGAAGTCTAAACCTCATGCTGATTCAAGGAGTCTTTTACCAGGAACCCCCTGAAGAGACACTCTCTAGATCTTGTACTCTGTATTTATTTCATGGTCCATCATGATCAGCACAGCATCACTAATTCCACATTACTCCCCAGAATGCAACTGTATGAAGTTATCTTCTGAATTGAAAATTATTTCAAGTGGATAGTACTTGTAATATTATTGGTGTAGAATGGACAATCTCAAGTAAATATAAGCCAGCATTCCAGGAATATGTGGAATGAAAGGGAAGGACAATACATCCTGACTTGAGCTAGAAGCTTTACCAACTGCAAAATCACAGAAAAAATAAATAGATACATATACTCTCCTGAAATTCATCTTGCTTTTCAAATATTTATATTTCATTGGCAATCTTTGGATTTGGAAAAAAAAATCTCAGTATTTTTTTCTATGGATTATCAACTTTCCATCAAAATATTTACCAGTAAGAGCCTTGTATATGTGACTTTAATACTTATAAACACAAGTATTTTCTTTCTTTTATTTTTTTTTCTTCAACCTATATACCATTTTAGGAATCTAAACATATTAACTAATTTACTGGGCATATATAGCTTAAGAATAAATACTTAAGAAAATTGGGATTGGGTAGTGGTATTGAAATCGATATAAATACAGTGAATGGTGAATATGTATGAACTGTTCATTGGATGTTAGTGAAAAGAACGAAATTCAACATGTAATAGTCGTTTATTGTATTTTATTCTTTCTTTGCTTACTCTTTCATGGACTGTAATGCTCAAGCATAGAAGCTACTTTTATAAACAAATATTGTTTTTAAAAATGTTTATTGTGTTAATAGAGCTACTTTCCTAGGGAAGTTTCTAAAAGCATGTTTGGTAAAACGGCCTTCTCGAGAAGATTTTAGAAAGGAATGAGACCATTTTGTAAAGATAACACAATTTATATTCATTGTTTGAATGCTTATGAATAGGAGAGAGGAAATGGACATGAGGAATGTTTATTAATCAGGAAAAAAGTAAGCCACTAGTTATTGTGTATTTTGAGAATATAGTGTATGAATAATTAAATATAATTGCATTGTGACTTTAAGGCATTGTGATTGCTAAGAGTTTGCTAATATGTAGAAGAAATATTTTTAATACATGATTATAAAAATAGGATTGTTAGAATACCTCTGAATGATACACATTTAAAATCATTTGAATTATTGCCGTGGCTTTTGGTGTGGAGCGAGTATTGTTCTGTATGCAGCTGCCACATAAGAAATTTTATTAAGGCTGTTCTATGTGGATGTAGATGTTATTCTGTAAATGGTTTTTATGTTAATATTTGTATGGTATGAGATTTAATTCTCACGATGGAATTATTACTGCATAAGAGTCCAGCTTCTTTCTATTCATGTTTAGGATTTGATGGGATTTTTTATTGCTATGTATATAATAGAAAAAGGTACTGTGGTAAACCATCCAATTAATCATGGAGATGACCGACATTTGGGGCATTTTAAATGTTAGAATATAATTTTAGTTGTCAAGAGGAGTTTCTAGACTGGCCTTGTTTTTATCAAGCAAATAAAGCAGAATTTAGAAGGTAGAGAGTAGGGAATTTTAGAGGGCTATAGGTATATGCATATGTGCAGAGATAGTTCTTGAACAGCCTCCAGGCTTTACTTGATGCTCAGATGTTGGGAATCTACATATATTTTATTAATCCTGTGATTTTAAATAGTTGTAGTTTGTTGTTTTATCCAATGGATTTGTTAAGTTGCCTCAACATTAATTCCTTTTCAGTAGATACTGTTATACCTTTTGTTAAAGTGTTATATACACTGTAATTTTCTTTAACATCTACTTCTCTACATACATAGACATCACTGTAAATACATACCATTTTATATGGATAGCCATTTTTGTTTGACAAAAATGATATATCTAGCCTCTGTGTGTTCATTGGATCTTTAGGCTCAAATTTTAGGGTGGGGTAAATGCAGTGTCTAGTATAATACCTCATTATTTTTTATACATGATTCATGATGGAAATGTCATTAACTGTTGGTCCGCCTTTGTTTATGGTTTTCAGATATGTTTGTATGCAATAGAAAATACAGTTACTAGGTGAATCTCTGCCTGTGGTTAAACATATAGGTTAGAAAGTTTTTATTTGCTGGTGGAATTTGACTTTTAATAATAACTGAATTGTTCTTGTTTTAAAATACTTATATCTAATAGTATAGGTGATTTACAAGTTTTTATTGGAGATGTTTGTATTGGTCTGCCAAATATATGTTCTTAAAGGATGGGCTGATCAAAGAAGAGCTTTAAACAATTGTGTATAAAATTAGACACAGTTATAATTATTCTTTGGCTTTAAGAAAACAATGTCAACATGTTTTGTAAATATGTAAAGTGAAAAATTTGCTATTAACAGTTGTCAGATTATCTCTGAGTAAATAATTGGGCAGCTGATGTTCAGGATATTTTGTTCGATTGTTCTGTGTATAAAATAGGATATAATAATTTTTACCTTAAAGTTTCAATCCTTAATTTTACAGGGGTTGCATTCATATACATCTGTATAAATACCCACAGGTGTATTGTATATGTATCTATAAAACAAGTGTTTATTAAAAATCATAGACTAGAAACACCTTTTGGCCAAATAATTATCACTCGGCTTTAGTCTGTTCTTTGTGTTGTTCAATGGTGGATGATGCAGGAAGTTTTAGTATATGAGCTTTAGTAGCTGGAAGATACTGTTATGCCTACTTAAGTTACAAACCAACATTAGTTTTTGTTTTAGGACATCTGCATAGGATTTGCTGATAGGTGTGTATATTTTTTGGATACCAATTTGAGAAGACAATGTGAAAAAACACTATATTTTGACAAATTGAATTACTATACCATGTCTCTTTGGGATGTATTTGGTGATGGGGATTGTAATTTTTTTTGCACATAGATGATAAGTGTCATATCATTTTTAGATATGTAATTTCTGTCAATAATTTTAGAAATATATTTTCATTGAGATACTAAAGGTGTAATCATTACCTGAATATAGATATAGTAGAGCAACCATCTTCAAGGGCTATGCTTGATTATGATTTTTTTCATTCTGTGTTTATTTAAGTTCTTTAAGTTTATTTAAATTCCAGTTGATTAACATACAGTGTAATATTAGTTTCAGGTGTACAATTTAGAATTCAGCTATTCCATACAACACAGTGCTTATCACACAGGCACTCCTTAATTCCGATCACCTATTTAATTCCTCCTGTACTCACCTCGCCTCTGGTGACCTTCAGTTTGTTCTATATTGTTAAGAGTCTGTTTCTTGGTTTGCCTCTCTCTGTGGTTTTGAGATCTTTTAGTTACATTCATTGTTAAAGTACAGAAATTACTACCATTCATATTTTTTAAACATAAAATGAATACTTTCTTATACTAATATAAGTTTTGGATGTTGAATGTTTAGAACAGAGCAGGGAAGCAGTTGCTGCATGAGATAAGCTTATGTAGTATATCTTAATTTTCTACATATGTAGAAACACCCTCTACATACACCTACCACACCCACACACCCACACCCACACAAAAAGTAAATCTGTTAATGTGGAGAACAACCATGGTGAAAAATAATATATTACTTGTAGAAGTGTTACAAGACTATCACTATATATTGTGTGTGGGGTTATTATTAGGTACTTGTGCACCTGTGGTCATATCTTTGTTTTTATACTGTAAAACTTTATAGATGTGCAGACATTTCTGTCATATATTTGAGTATATTTTACCTAAAGCATGTAAACTTTTCTTCTGCTTGTAGACATGAAATAGTAAAATAAACCTCTCTGCTGTTATGATTTCTAGACTGGTATGTATGTAGTTATTGATAAAATATTTATTTCTAGAAATACAGACATTGCTGATAAATAGTTTCAAATATCAAGTTTTTAAAAATCAATATTAGTTTCTCCGCATGTCCAGTGGATTTTTGTGAGAGAATGGATGGGATTGTGAATGTTTTTCATTCTCAGATTCTTTGGCTTTGTACCTATTTTTGGTTTATAGATATAGTGAACATCATGTATGTTTCAGTCATGCAATTGAAAAACTATGAGTTTGAAATGTTTAACATTTCAAAATGATTTTAAGAATTCCTTATGGATGGCACTTTGTGGTTTGTTGTTAAACAGTGCAATTTTCAATAGTTACATTATAACATTAGACTTAGGAAGTATATAGAATTGTTGGAAAACAAAATGATTGAAGGTAGAAACAGTTTTCTTTTGAGGATGTGCTCCTTTGTGTATGATTCCTTGGAATACTGGGATTATTAAAGACAATTTATTTGAAAATTGGGTTAAAAGCCTCTGAGCTTTATTTTTGTTGTATTTGTGTGTATTACACACACATGTATATAGTCAGGAAAGAGAGGGTGGTTAAAAAGTTCATTGCCTCACATTTCCATTTAGAAGAAAAATTAGACTTCAATAATTAAGTTGTGTCCATTTCATATTTTTATATATTTCTACTTATTTAAGGGACATGAAGTGTATCTTATTTCTCAGATGTACTGAGGTTCTTGATGAAATTTATTTACTAAAGAAAATTCTGTAGAATCTAAATCACATAATTCTGTGTTCATTTGTTACACAGCAATAAGACAACTTTGGAAATAATGGGGAAGTCAAACATTTAGTTTTAAGCAGCTAATATTTCTAGATGTATGGAGAGTGACACAGTATAATTTTGTAAATATTTTCATTGTAAATGTGTTAGGATTATTGTCTTATAAAGTCAGCATGGCAAGGAAATTGATCATTAATAAATAGGGTCCTGGAGCTATGCAATATTATCATATATTCATTTGGTTGTTAAGAGAAATAGAAAAGATTATGTATTTAGCCCATTCTCATAGTAGAATAGTTTGCCATTGTATATGTCTAAGTTGTACATTAAAAAACATATTCTGTGTAAGTTCTTTTGATGTTGCTGGGTGTATTGTATTTTATTTGGAGCTTCCCTGGGATGTGAACCTTAGATTATTTTTGTGTTAAGATATGTTTTTAGAGCAGATCTAGGTTCATAGCAAAATTGAGAGGAAGGTACAGAGATTTACCACCTAGCTCTTTTCCCAGCACATGCATAATCACCCCTATTATCTGCACCCCTTACCAGAGTTAACTTAACCATTTGTTACTGCTGATGAATTTACATCAATACCTCATAATTACCCAAAGTCCATAGTTTGTCATGTTAACTCTTGGTATTGTACATTTTGTGGGTATGGAAAAGACATGTATCCATCATGCAGAATGTTTTCATTGTCCTAAAAATCCTCTGTGCTCCACCTAGTCATCTCTCCCCCATATTTATTTTTATAATTGTTGTTAACATTGGAAATATATATAAATGACTTTGTTAAGGAGATTTTATACTACCTCTTGGAACTATACACAATTCTGTATGTGTTCCTTTGGTTGCATGACAATATTCAAGACAACTTTGTAAATAATAGACAGATACAAGTTTTTAATTTTTAACATCTAGTCTTTCTAGATGTGTAGAGTCTCACAACGTATAATTTTGTAAATAATTCATTGTAAAATTTCATAGTATCATTGTTATCAAATGTTTTAATTGCAGTGCAGTTAATAAAAATTTTAAGTTTCTTGAGCTATTGTCTATTTTGGTATCCACTTTTTGAGTTGTTAGGGGAAGGAGAAAGTTACTAAAAAGGTGTACTGTCACTCGCATTCTCTAAAAGAAAATTTTACATTTTAATCACTGTTTAGTCCTTGTATTATTATACATTAAAAAACCTAAGTCATAATTTTAGTTGTATTGCTATATAAGTATAAATTATACAACTATAAACTTATAGTAGTATTCCTGATTATGTATTTTAATCATATCAAGTCTTTTTTATCAAATTTTATTCTTCTTTGAGTTACTCAGTTTTGTATTTAACTGAAAAGCATGAAAATATTCAAGACAACTTTGTAAATAACTAATATATCATTTAAAAATATCTAGTTTTTCCAAATGCATGGGGTTTCACAAACTATAAATCTGTAAATATTTCATTGTTGTAAAATACCATAAATTGTTTTTTGTAAGTGTTGACAATGTAATAAGTAAATAATAATTGTACTTTTAGGGTTATATACCATTTTGGTGTTAAGTGGGTGTTGGGAGAGAGGCATAGACAGATTGCCTTCCTTTTCTTCAGATTGTTAGGTTTTTATGTATAAGAAAATAATGGATTTTATACTTGAAATACCCCAGGATGATTTTTACCTTTATAAAGAGGAAGGAAGACATGAGAAGGAAATTGTCATTTTTAAATCACGGGTATATTTGTGGAAGATTCTCTTATTGCTAAGTAATTATTATTTTGCTATACTATACAAATCTACTCTTTGTAAATTTATATGTGTATACATACATATACATACATATTGTGAATGCTTTAGGAGTATAAATCTGATAGTACTCTCTCATTTATTAGCTTATTGCTTTGCATTTTTTTGAAAATTATGGAAATATTCAAATCTAAACTTAAGTATTTCTAGAATCCCACTTCATGTTATATCTACGTGTATGTTATTTTTAATGTTTATTTAAGTTTGAGAGACAGCATGTACAAACGAGGGTCAGAGAGAGGAGACACAGCTCTGAAGCAGGATCCAGGCTCTGAGCTGTCATCAACACAGAGCCTGACGCAGGGCTCAGAGCCATGAACTGAAATCCTGACCTGAGCTGAATTTGGACTTTCAGCTGACTGAGCCACTCAGGCGCCCTAAGTGTGTTATTTTTAATATAAAATTATTAACACCATATGTATTTGTTTTCTAATCTGTTACCACATACAGACATCTAAATGAAAATAGTATTTCTTTGCTTATGAGTATGTGTTTTTTCTAAGAGCTTTTTATAAATTTCCAGTGTTTGGTTATATTTGTATGTTATGTAATAATCAGAAACAAAGTAAAAAATATTCTAGCTCAGTAGTCAATAATAAATTATGAAAATATTTTAGAAAAAATTAAATTATAAATTAAGGTATAAATCAGTATTTTTTTGAACAGCAGCTTGGCAATAACAATTGAAATTCAAGTGTGTAAACATTTGAAATGGTGTAACTTGCAGCTGTGATTTTATCTATTTCAAGTTTCAAATTTACAATTAAGTATGTTATATATTGAGTATAACAATCGTTGGGGCATCTGAAATATACACCAATAAAAGATTATAATGGTTGCAGCTAATCATATGAATATAATTTAGACACTGGAATATGTTCTGGTACAAAAGGGTGTTTTGTGTGGATATTTAAAATTATGCCATTTTTTTGAACAAACATCAACTAATAGTGTGTTTACAAAGGTGTGACCATATGCCTCTCAAAGTTCTAATTGGAAGTGTAAATTACTGTTTCTGAGGAATGTAATTATTCTGACATGATTATAGAATTAAGTAACGCTAACTCATCTGTGTTACTATAATGGTGATTATTTCAGTATTCTTAAAATTCTTGTACTTTGTAAGTTGTATAGTAAAACATTGTTTATTGTTTGTATATTGCTACTTGACAATCTGAAATAAATATGAGTTGTTGGATATAAAGGTGTCTGGAAGAATAGATGGCAAAAATTTAACAGTACTGTATAGAGAGATGGGAATGGAGGACTGCTTCTACTTCCTGCATTTTGGATTTTAAAGGTATTTCAAAAGGAACATTTAAACAACAAAAAGGGGATTTTAAAGATACATCCAATTTGTGCCTGTCTTCATCCTTGCCTGTCAACATCTTGGGAGTATTGGGTTGTTGTATCCAGTTTTGTATTCCCAGTGGCCATTATGAGTTGTTTGTGAGTGATCATGAAGAGCATATGGTTTAGAGACTAGTGCAGCAGAGAGTTTTACACACGGAAACAGCATTGTGGGACTCAAGGAAAGAATATGGGAGAAGATGTGATTTGAGGTATGTGCTATACAATTATATTTGGGTTTGGAAACACGTGAATGATTAAAATAAGTCATTGAAACTTTCTTTTGTAAGGGGTATATTTTTATAATGCCCTGCCATATTTGTGGTTATTGACTAGGTCAAGTTGTTTGAGGAAGAGTATTAGAATAGGTTGGAAGTTAATCTTAATGATAGTAATTAGAGAATGGATTGTTTCCTATTTTTAATGGTAGTTGAGTCAGAATTTCAAGTAGGTATTTATGTTTTCTTATATGATTCAGAATTGGCATGAAAAACATTTCAATACATTTTGTGTTATTTCTGTGTAGTAATATTAGCTGTTTGTTTAATTATCTCCATCCCATTCACTGTTCCTAATCATTCTGAAGTCATCCTAATTTGTGTGTCCTGGTGTGTCTGTTGCATCTTATTGGCTATATTATATATTTATTTCTCAGATGAACACAATGAAAGGAGGAGATTTACAGATAATCTGAGGCAGCTGACACTCCTCATCCTATGGTCTTTCTTAATTCGTAAGTCTTAACTGAGAACCAACCACAGGGAAGAAGGTTCTGGATCAAGAAGTGCTGTTTTAGGACAAGGCTTTGGCTAGACTCAGGAAAACATCACTGGAATATTCAACCATGCCTCAGAATTTGTGAGTAAATTAATTCTTTAAAAAGATAATTTTACCAAAGTGAAGATGTGAATTATATGTAGAATGTCTTCTTTCAATTGGTTTCTTATTTATAATGAAACATTGTGACCTAATTAATGTTATAAAGAATATAAACAATTATCAGTTGTTCATTAATTGGAAATTTTGAAATAAAGACTTTTTGCAAGTAAATTTTTATAGTGTGATAAAGGAAGAAGTTCAAGGAAACTGAAAAAAAAAAAAACAAAAAAACAAACAAACACGAGGGGTACTCTCTTGTACTGTTGGCAGGATTACGAACTGGTGCAGCCACTATGGAAAACAGTATGTAGGTTCCTCAAAAAGTTAATGTGATTCAGCAATTGTAATCATGAGGTATTTACCCAAAGAATACAAAAATATTAATTCAAAGGGATATGTCCACTCCAGTCTTTATAGCAGCATTATCTGCAGTAGGTAAATTATGGAAGCAGCCAATGTATCCATTCCAGTGATGAATGGGTAAAGAACTTGGCCATAACAAAACGAATGAGATCTTTCCATTTGCAACGAAGGAGGCTGATGGAGCCAGAGAGTATAGTGCTAAGCGAAATAAGTCAGAGAAAAACAAATTACCTTTGATTTCACTCATACATGGAATTTAAGAAACAAAACAAAAGAGAGGCAGACCAAGACATAGACTCTTAGCTACAGAGAACAAATTTAGAATTACCAGAGGCTAGGTGGTTGAGGGAGATGGGGGATTAAAGAATACATTTGTGATGAGAAACAGGTGATGTATGTAAGTGTTACATCACTAAATTGCATACCTGAAACTCACTAACTGGAGTTTAAGTAAAAACTTGGAAAGTATTTGTAAAGTAATAGCTGATGTTGGAGAGTTGAATCAGTTAGAGGATTAAGAGGCATTCTTTTTAAGCATTAAAAGAAATTTGTAACAGTTCGAAATGAGGCTCCACTTATCTGCTGCTTTTGCCATTTTATAAAACGTGTTATGTGTGTCTTATCTACCAATGTTTCACTTCTTTTTTTCCTGTCAGGAGGTGATAGTTCCAAGAAAACACACTTTTGCCATCTTTGTAATTGCAAGAATTGGTACCACCAGACCTCTGTTGGCAATATTACTCATTTAAGTATTCTTCACCTCTCATCTCTGGTTCCAGGAATACTGCATGCCAAAATGATTGTAAGGACAGATAAGTGTTTATTTGATTCAGGGAGGGGCACTTGGTTAGACAGGAGCTAATATTCTGCTATGTTTAATTAATTTTCGGTGGCAGCTAGTAGGTAAGGAGATCTGTTCAGGTTACATATTGCTGAGTAATAAATAATCTTGACATTTAGTGACATAAAACATCTAATGTGCCATTAGGCATATGTGTGAAGAAGTGTCCAGATGACTCCAGCCTCTAAGTGTTGTTCTCCCCAGCTGATCCCATATTCTGGCACTGTCAGAAATCTTCCCCCCCCACTTCAGAAGTCATGTTGTATCATTTTTGCCATATTTTGTTGCCTAACATGGTTATATGACCAGCCCAAATTCTAGTAGAGATTTTATCTCGTGATGGGTGTGCTTTAAGGACACTGCTCACCTAGAGTTATGTGTAGGACCAGATGAAAGAAGCCATAGTAAGTAAAAGCTATAGCTGTGTAATTGTAGTAGTTGATTTTTTTAAATTTTGGCATCCATTAACAATATTTCCTTCAAATCATATATCTATCTTTATGAGTTCAGTAAATTGATTTTCAGAATTTCACTTTTCATGTACACTGAATTTCTTGCAGATATTTTTCAACAAACATCTTACTCATTGCCTGGCATAGAATAAAATTTTAATGAATTGTGACTATGGGAGCAAATTAGGCAAGAGTTAAGAAGTTGGAGAAAGAAAACAAAGGACATGATCTTTGGCATTAAGTGAATATGAGGAGGGCAGGAGAGAAAAGAGCCCAGGTACACTAAGGTGGTGTTGAGATGTATAACCTTAGTAGTAGTAAGTAATGAACTATACAAAGAGTGAGAGGAAGCAGTTGTTAATGAAACTATTGATATTATAGCAAATAGTGAATTCAGCTCCTGACGACCAGGTGTTGTGTGATTCTCTTATTTCCTTTATTTCTCACTAAAAAGTTATTTCATGGGATATGTGGCCAAGAGTGAATGCTGAAAAATTCCTTAAAAATTCTTTTTCAGAGAGTCTTATTACCTACCTGTTAATCCCTGAATAACCTTAAAGATAAAGGCTATTATCATAAAATTATTTTTCTTAGAATAAAACATTGCTAAATAGACAATTAATGACGTCTTGGGTGAAGTGTCAACTTAGAAATTTTGATAACCACCTGGAATAATAGGTTAAGATCTAAATTTTCCTAAATTCCATTGTAGCCTCTGTCTTCTGTACAGTTACCATATATTTCTCACTAAATGGACTAAGGTCCTTTTGTTATTTTCATTGGAATTTTTTGGCACTGTTTGTCATGTTTCTTGTAGAGAAATGGCATACAGATTAAATAATTTGTGTATGAATGAGTAATCTAGAGATACAAGCATCCAAATACATAAAAAGAAACAGCAGGAGAACGTTGGGATCAGTCCAATTACCAAGGTATAAGAAGAACGAATAGCAAGATACCAATATCTGACTTTAAAAATCGAGGTATATTTGAGCAACAATATTACATTAGCTTCAGGTGTGAATAGTGATAGTGAATTGAAAATTCTACGCATTATGTAGTGCTCACCACAATAAATATAATTAACATCTCTAGCCTTCTTACTAGAAAATGCCAAAAGTTATTCTGATGCATCTCTTATTTCTTCATAATAAACTGGCTGTTGCATTTCATTGTATATAATTTTATTATATCCTACTGATAATTGCATAAACTATCCGTCTTAACTTTACCTGTTTCCTGATGTGTCCTCTCAGGTGATGACCAAATAGAAAACTGATGTTATTGCTTCTGCCACCATCTTCAAATCCAAAAGACGGTCTTCATAATATATGCAGACTCCTCTTTCATGTCTTGGAGTAGACACTTCTCCCAGATCAGAAAACCTGGACTGAGAAAGCTCATGTTTGAAAATTATCTAAAGATTATCATTGGAGGGAATTGTAACCAGGCATGTTGACTGTTTTCATTATTGACATTGGACTAAATTTTGGGAGCTTGAATGATGGAGATGCTATTACACAGAGAAGCTCAGGATGGTGTGATTGCGAGGCTTCATTTCAGTGTTCCCATGAGTATTAAGTGCACATATGTGTAATTTTCACTTTTAACAGGGTACGTTTAAAATTGATGCAAAAAATTCTTTTTCCAGATTTTAAAGGACAAAAAGTTGTAAAGGGTAGAATTTTTACTTCTTAAATGCTTCCCCCCCTCCTAATTCTACTCCCCAAGATTATCTACTGTTACGGAGTTTTTTGCATATCCTTTTCGGGTGTATTAGTAAACAAATTGATATGGCAGTAGTCCTCCTGGTCCATACATTAGCTACCAATTTTCTATTCAGTGAACAAGCTTATATATAATCTATTTTTAATTTCTCCAGCTAAGTTGTTGAAATAGTCCTACTGCTTCCACTTCATTGGAATTAAGTATATTCAAAATATAGGTTTTGAGTCAATAGTAGAGATTTCCCAAAATTGTATATATTATCCTCATCAATCTTGTCTCCCCGTGTTTGTTTATGAGACTTTTTTTTCTAAAACAGTACAATCATTGGATGCCAATGTTTTAATTTTCATAGTGTGATACTAGAAATAAATCACTTCTCTTGAGTTATTGTTCAGTTTAGTCATCTTTATATGTCCTTAAACTGTACTGATCATTTGTTTTTCATTTTATTCTGTGGTTTCTTTTTCATTTCCATTGGAAAATAGGTTTTTTGTTACTGGCTTTTAAGAGATCATTTATGACTAAGGATTTTAACCATTTACTATGCAATGCAAATGAAATACCATGTTTTTTTTTTAACCATTTTGCTGTGATACTTTACTTTTTGGTGTACAGAAGTTGTATGTTGAAATATAATGTTATGTTTCATGCCTTTTGAGTTTTGTGTTTTTACTTAAAACGTGATTGTATTACTATCATACACTTTTTGTATTTGTATTTTAAATTATTTTGTCATTTTATTTTTTCCCATCAATTGTTACTGTGGTTTTAAAGCATTACTTACTCAAATTATTTACCTTAAGCAATTACCAATTATTTTAATTTCTACCATAGTAATTTAGAAATTCCCACATAAAATCAGCTGCATTTCTATTTGTTTGCCTTACCTTCTATTGATGACTTTAAAATTACCGATGATTTTAGTCTATTCCATTGAGTTCTATCTCATTTCTCTTCTTTTTTTCAGAATATTCCCTGTCTATAGTCGCATTTTTTTTCTCTCAGTTGATGCTTAAAATTATTTTGCAAGTTGGAAAAATGCAGTTTTAATTTCATTTGCATCAAATTTAATAGATTAATTAGGAGAGAATAGATCTCTTTAAAATTGAGTCTTCCTCTCCAACTGCAAGGTATGTCTTTCTATTTTTAATCAACTTGTTACATTGGGAAACTGCTAGATTATATTTTTTACTCATTCCCAGTCAATTCATAGTTTTGTTAATGTAGTGATGGGGATTGTGAACCTACATTATTTTATTATTACTATGTAAGCCTTTTTATTTACTTTTCTAATGGTATTTCATTAAAATACCAAAATTCTGATTTTCCTTCTCAGTTCGTGGTTTTTACAGAATATATAGATGCAGAAACGGCCCTTGGTTAATTGACAGTGGATATTAATCCTATTAGTTTAAGGTTTGTTTACTTAGGGGTCATTTTAGGAAACTTTTCCTTTTATTGAGCATTTTTTGCATAAATTGTTTACAGGTATAATAAAATGTTTTGTTGTGTATTATAGATTATCATGCTTGCAATTATAATTCTTGATTAGGCTAAAAAGTAACTTTTCATAAAAATAAACATTCTTGCATCTACTTTCAATGAACTACATTTTGTGTATATATGTGCATGTATGTGTGTATATATATTCATATATGTTACCCTATTGTTAAAATTTTATTTGCAGTTACTGAAAATATAATCCTAAATAAACAGCTTATTTTGTTCTGTTTTGTCAGGGTTTTGTATTTAGTTTACCTCCTCTACCAAAATGTTTGGAATATTATCTGTATAGGCTGGAAACAAGAAGTATTAGCATTTTTGTTTTATTTTTATTTTGAAATAATTTTTGGCTTGCAAAAAGTATATATTGCTCTCTACCCTCCTTACATTAACATCTTTCATATACTTGATAACAGTTATCTAAGTAAGGAAATTGCTAAACTGCTGTTAACTGATCCTTTTATAATCAGTGATTGAAAAGAGAATCCCACATTGCATGTAGTTATACTCTAATGTCCTTTTGCTTGGGACGATTGCTCAGTTTTCTTTGATTTTCATAATTTTGATCCTTTAAAAGAGTCGACTAAATATCCAACTATTAATGTTAATCAGTATGGGCTTGTGTGATTTTTCATCATTGGAATTGAGGTGTTATGCATGTTTGACAAGATTGCTACAGAAGTGGTACTCCCTTTATCACTAGGGATCACATATTGATATGTCTTGTGACTACTGCTATTTTATTACATAGTGTTACACAGTACATATTTGTAGGGGTATGTACTACAAATATTATAACACTCTTATCTGTTAATTTTAGACTGTATTGATGTTTGTTGCCTGCAAAAATTAGTATACTGTGGTGTTTGCCAAATTATGACTTTTAAATTTTTTGTACTGTATTTTATCAATTTAATTTTTGTACTATAAGAGTTACTCCTCCTCTCCCATTTAATATTCAGTTATTCATTTCAATGTAGAATCATGGATATTTTATTCATCCCATGGATTTGATTCATTAATTTCCTTTAATCAAATTGTCTATCATTTGGCCATTCTCTTAACGATGGCATCTGTGTCTTTTTAACATGTCCATATTTCGTCTCCTGAGCGCTTACTTTCTGACCACCTAATAGTACCTGGGTTTATTTTGTTCTTATCTTGTGGAACCATCAGTTTCTCTAAGGATACTTGGTTCCTCATAGGGAGGGTACTTACGAAGTAAGCTATGTATCCAAACTTCATTTATTTTTATGGTTCAGTAATATTCCAAAGTGTATATATGTAACATTTGTTGTTGAATACATGGATGTTTCCACTTTTTGACTTTGAATAATAAGGCTTGTGCCTTCCACATTGTCAATAATACTGCAATGAATATTGACATTAAAATGTCTTGAGTCCCTTTTTTCATTTTCTTTGGGTATATATCTTGGAGTAAAATAGCTAGGAGTCATATGGGATTTTCATGTTTAACTCTTGTAGGAATGGCCTGTTAGTTTTTTAATGAAAGATTTCATACTTATAAATAATGTGATTATAATGAATTTTTATGTGCTGAGCAACTAGAATAATTACAAATATTTTGCCATTCTTTGAAAATTGCAAATCCTATGATATTTCAATCTTGAATTTTTTATATGCATACACATCACAATTTTAAATAACCAAAGTATCTTATCTACTATTAAGTAGAATCCCTTATTGCCTTTTAAAATAAATTCTCATGTAAATTTGTCAGTTCATCCAAAGATCTAACAGTTGGAACAAATTTGGACCCACACAGGCACCATGCATTTTTACTTAGGTCATTTTTATCTAATTTTTGGTTATTTGTATTAATTTATTCTTAATACTAAATATTTTAACTCTTTTTATATAGGACATATACCCCTGCTTTTTGTTTCATGTGTTAAATATTTTTAAAATATTTAATCTGGGGCGCCTGGGTGGCTTAGTTGGTTAAGCGTCCGACTTTCGCTTAGGTCAAGATCTCACAGTTCGTGGGTTCGAGCCCCGCGTTGGGCTCTGTGCTGACTGCCAGCTCAAAGCCTGGAGCCTGTTTCAGTCTGTGACTCCCTCTCTCTCTGACCCTCCCCTGCTCATGCTGTCTCTCTCTCTCTCTCTCTCCTAGAAATAAATAAAACATTTAAAAAAATAAAGAAAATATTTAATCTTTTGTAATTCATTTAGTTTTGGAAGAACTTAATTTTTCTGTTACATTTATATTGATTTTACCTACTATTTCTAGTGTATTAAATGTATTTTGGTGACCTAATGTGGTCCACTTTGAGGCTTTCCTTGTGTCTGTCTCTTTCATATATTCTGTCACATACCTACATATCTATAACTATCTAGAAACATTTATAGAATGTATAAATACCTTTATAAACTATACCTAAATATATGTGTATTTATGTAGACCATAACAAAAGTATAGCTCATATTTCTAAGGGTATTATAGGTGCTTGGAAAAAAGCATTGTCACCAGTATACAGAGCACTATATAACTGGTTGTGACGGGTTCACTATTGTTACAGATCTGTACTTCTGTGTCTTTTAGAGACTACTAATATGACTTGCTATTGATGTCCTGATCTTAATTTTCTTTTTGTTTAATTATATATTGGATAATTTGACCATTCTGTCAGTTTTGCAAGAGCATTTCATATACTGTATCCCAAATAGACTATGAATATGTACTTACATTTTCCCATGTCCCATTCTAGAAAAAATAACTAAGGCCTAGTTTTCTTTTATAATTCATTCTGTGTTTTTTGTTGAATCTCAAAACTTGTGGACCCCAATACTTTTAAAATATAATCATCATGCTACCTGCTGAAAAATATAAAATGTAGGGGCACATGGGTGGCTCATTCTGTTGAGCATCTGACTTTGGCTCAGGTCATGATTTCTTGGTTCGTGAGTTAGAGTCCCACATCAGGATATCTGCTGTTAGTCTGGAGCCTGTTTTGGATCCTCTGTCTACTTCTCTCACTCTGTACTTCTCTTGCTCATACTGTCTGTCTCAAAAATACATAAACAATAAAAACTGTTTAAATATCTGAATAAATCCTTTATGATATATCACAGTTGGACATTTAAAGTACTCTGAATTATTTGTAGATTAAAAATCATATTCAAACTTTGGTTTTTAAAATAGTCATGTTCAAATCAGCACTTGAATAATGCATTCAATTTCATTCCACTTGGTTTGTTACTCTATAGTTCTTTTTGAATCTGCAACAGCTCTTTTTTAAAAAGTTTGTAATGTTTATTTATTTTTGAGTGAGAGAAAACATCCGAGCAGGAGAGGGCAGGAAGTGAGGGAGACACAGAATCCAAAAGCAGCTCCAGGCTCTGAGCTGTCAGCACAGAGCCTGACATGGGACAAACACATGAACTATGAGACCATGACCTGAGCTGAAGTCAGACTGAGCCATGCAGGCACCCTAGCTCTTTTCTCTTTTTAAAGTTTATTTATGTATTTTGAGAGAAAGATAGGGTGCATGTTCATTTTCCTGCATGAGTGGGGAGGAGGCAGACATGGTGGGGGTGAGTGAGAATCCCAAGAAGGCTCTGCACATTCAGTGTAGAATCCAGTGTTGGGCTCCAACTTGTGAACTATGAGATCATAATCTGATCTGAAACCAAGAGCTCGATGCACAACTCACTGAGCCACCCCACATCTCTGTCTCTCTCTGTTTTTGCTTTAAACTTACATAATTTGTATTTATATTTGGAAATCAGACTATTTTCCTTTTAAAATTATCACATTTCTAATTCTACAAGCAGTATATGGCATTCCTGTGGGAGGGTTTAATATTTTCCCTAAAATCCTATGTTAGATTTAAATGTCATATCAGTTTGGTTTTATTCTTTAATCACTTATTATAGGAATCTTTTTAATTTGTAATACTGTATAATTCATTTACTCTAAGAACACTATGATTTTTAAAAAACTTAATTACTTTATAATTAACATAGATTGTTAAATTAGTTTCAAGTGGACAATGTTGGGATTTAACAATTTCAAGTATCACAGTTCATCACAACAAATCCATTCAATTCCCATCATCCATTTCCTTTATGGTAACAGTTTGTTCTCTACAGTTAAGAGTCTTGGATTGCCCTCTTTTTCCCTTTGCTTATTTGTTTCTTAAATTCCACTCATGAGTGAAATAATATGGTATTTGTCTTTCTCTGACTTAATACTGCTTCGCATAATACTCTGTCATTCCAACCACATTGTTGCAAGTGGCAAAATTTCATTCTTTTTGATGGCTGAGTAATTCATTTTATATATGGATAAAGATGTATGTATGCATATGTGTGTATATACATTTAAATATACACATGTATCCATTCATTTTTATCTGTTCATCAGTAAATGGATACCTGACCTGTATCCATATGTTGGCCATTGTAAATAATGCTGAAATAAACATAGGGCTGCATGTATCTCTTTGACTTAGTGTTTTTATATTTCTTTGGATAAGTACCCAGTAGTGTGATTTTTTTAGGGTAATTGTAGGGTAGTTACTTTGAACTTTTTGATGAACCTCCACACTGTTTTCCAGAGTGGATCTACCAGTTTGCATTCCTGTCAACAGTGCAAGAGAATCCCTTTTTCCCGACTTTCTCCCCAACAGTTGCTGTTTCTTGTGTTAATTGATTTTAACCATCCTGACAGGTGTGAGCTAATATTTCACTATAGTTTTTATTTTTATTTTTATTTATTTATGTATGTATGTATGTATGTATGTATGTATGTATTTATTTATTTTTTTATTTCTAGGAGAGAGAGAGAGAGAGCAGGGGAGGGTCAGAGAGAGAGGGAGTCACAGACTGAAACAGGCTCCAGGCTCTGAGCCGGCAGTCAGCACAGAGCCTGACGCGGGGCTCGAACCCACGAATCGCGAGATCATGACCTAAGTGAAAGTCAGATGCTTAACTGACTAAGCCACCCAGGCGCCCCTCACTATAGTTTTTATTAATGTTTATTTTTGAGTGAGACAGAATGTATGAGTGGAGGAGGGGTAGAGAGAGAGCAGGAAATATAATCCCAAGCGGGTTCCTCTGACAGCATGGAACCCAAATCCAAGGGCTAGAATCCATG